GACAAAAATCACATGATTTTTTTCTCAAATATACTCTTCAGATTTAGAATATAAACAGATATGTACTAATACAACCACATAATATTACCAATGTAGATATTAAACACTTTTGGGTGATATTTAATGTATGAATTTCCCAGCCCCCTGAAGGCAGAGACCATGCCTGTTTTTGCTTATCACTTTACACCCTTTGTCTATCACAGTGTCTGACACTATTAACAGCTTAACAAATGTTTGCTGAATGGTTTACTAACAGGTATAAAACTTAGCTTAATAAGCAATGGATTTGGGACAATTATTCCTAATATCATCTTACATATATATAAAAATGGAACTTTTGATTTTTTCCCTGCCTTACCTGCCAACCCTCCTCCTACAGGCTCCTTCCTGTCTTCCCTACCTCAGTAAATTTGCTGAATGGTTTACTAACAGGTATAAAACTTAGCTTAATAAGCAATGGATTTGGGACAATTATTCCTAATATCATCTTAAATATATATAAAAATGGAACTTTTGATTTTCTCCCTGCCTTACCTGCCAACCCTCCTCCTACAGGCTCCTTCCTGTCTTCCCTACCTCAGTAAATGGTATCAACTTTTACTAAAGAGTTTCTCAAGATAAAAAAACCTATGAGTAATCCTTTATTCCTCCTTCCTTTACTTTCCTTATCCAAGCCATTAACAATATATCTTGAATCTCTCCTCTTCTATCTCCACCGTCACTCTACTATGAGCCAAAATTGAGATCCTGCTTGAACTATTACAATGGCCTTCTAGTCACCCTGCTTTTACTCTTACCCCATTACTACACGTGTGTGTGTGTGTGTGCGTGTATTTTTTTTTTTTTTCCACTCAACAGCAAGAATGATCTAAAATTTAAGTCAAGGGCTGGCCTGTGGCTCACTTGGGAGAGTGTGGTACTGGTAACACCAAGGCCACGGGTTGGGATACCTATATAGGGATGGCTGGTTAGCTTACTTGGGAGAGCGTGGTGCTGACAACACCAAGTCAAGGATTAAGATCCCCTTACCAGTCATCTTTTAAAATAAATAAATAAATAAAAATAAAATAAAATTTAAGTTAAATCATACCTCTCTCACTTAAAAACTCTACTGGTTTCTATCTGCATACAGAAAATAATCCACAATCCTTATGTGGCTTCTTGCAAGCCTCAGTACCATTGAGCCCTAGCCTACTATTTTGCTCACTATGTTCCAACCATACAGACCTTTTGTTGCTTAAGTCTTAAGGCCTCTGCACTTCTTGGACCCCTAACCCTGTCTTTCATAAGAATAGCACCTACTTAGCCTTTAGATCTCAGCTCTAAACTTTATCTTCTCAGAGAGTGTGCTCTTCTCAAGTCTATGTAAAAAACCACTCCCTGTCCACTCACACAATTCTGTTACTATCTGATTTAGTTCCTTCATAGCATACTTATCATACCCACAAATCATTTTATTTATTGTCTCTCTTCCCTACCCTAGAATGTGAGCTCCTTGAGAGCAGCAGCTCTGCACCTAAAACGGTGCTTGACACATAGTAAGCACTCAATATTTTTTGGATAAACAACCCCATAGTATCTATTTTGCTCTTTTTAAAAAAGCACATTTGTAATGTGTAAAAACCACCTCCTTCACATCTTCCCACCCTTTTTCTGTAAGTTCCATACAGTAAAAAGTATGATGAATGAAAGATTACTTAAACCTATGGATGCAAGATAGGAACTTTTAGCAGCATACCAGAAAAAATTATCATATCTGGTCTATCACCAATCCTAGCTCTTTCTACAGTGTGGGCCAAGATACTTCTTTGGGAAGAGAATCTGCTTCTTACTACTTTGCTCCAGATAGGCATTTTCTTTTTCTTTTTTTCTTTTTTTTTTTTTTTTTGTCTTTTTCCGTGTCCGGCAACGGATCCCAACCCTCAGTGTCGCCCCCGTACCGGACCGGGACCGGGACCGGCAACGGGATCGCAACCCTCGGTGTTGCCCCTGCGCCTCGCTCAGCCAGTGAGTGGGAACCGGTCTGCATGTGGGATCCGAACCCTCGGTGGGAGCGCCGCCGCGCTTCCCAAGCGGCGCACTAGCTCAGTGCGCCACCAGGCCGGCCCAGGCATTTGCTTTTTCTAACTTAAAATTCATCACATACTTTTTCAGGATTCTAGGCTTACTATTACATAATTCTTTAAATGTCAGCTTGTTGAAACCTCGCCCTTAATGTTACATCTTTCTCTCTTATGTACTATTACAAAACATCTTAAATAAAAACAGAGCTACTCTCAGTTATCAGGTGCCATGACACACAGATCCTGAGACTGCAGCATAGGGTCCCTTCCCATCTCCAAAATGATAATCATTGAGCAAGTCATATCACTCCTTCACCTCCACCCCCAGGGGAATAGGAATAGTCAGGGCAGATAAGATTTGTAAAGCCTTATAGAAGAGGGGGTCAATAACCTGTAAAGCTTTATACCAGAGGAAACAGAAATACCCAACCTTGGATGGGAGGGATAGAGAGAGGGGAATGAAGGCTGTCTGAGTGGGAATACAAGCCGGGCCTTCATTGAAATACAATTTAATATTGTCTTCTCAATTTCTGTTTAGGATTGAAGAACATTTACTTCATTTCTACAAAACCACAGTGGAAGCCTTTGTGCATTATATTACTCAATGTTCTTTATGTAAGGAACCAGGCAATATGTGCTCCCTAGAATTTAGTACAAGGAACAAATCTCATTTTTTAGATCACACTTGGAATTTTTCTTTTTATCAAACAATGCAAACTATATGTTGTCATGAACTCTTAGAACTGGAAAGGCCATTAGAAATAAACTACCCCAGGGGCCGGCCGGGTGGCACGCCACTTGGGAGCATGGCGGCGTTCCCGCCGAGGGTTCAGATCCCACATACAGACCAGTTCCCGCTCACTGGCTGAGCGAGGTGCGGGTGCAGCACCGAGGGTTGCAATTCCGTTACCGGTCCCGGTCCGGTACAGGCGCGACACTGAGGGTTGCGATCCGTTGCCGGACACGAAAAAAGACAAAAAGGAAAAAAAAAAAAAAAAGAAAGAAACTACCCCAGCATTTTCTAAAGTATGCTATAGGTACTATGAAGAAAAAAAGAGTTTTATCAGCAAGCAAGTTTCTTTCTTCCTATTAACAATTTTATTGAGATATAATTCACATGCCGTGAAATTTACCCTTTCAAAGTGTACAATTCATTTGTTTTTAGTATATTCACACAGTTGTGCAACTATCACCACTATCCAATTTTAGAACATTTTCATCACTTCAAAAAGAAACCCCATACTGTTAGCAGTCATTCCCTATTCCCCCAGCAAATAAGTTTCTACCATAGGAATCCTTGGACCCTTTATTGTGAATCTCTTTTGTGAATTTATAAAACAAGGTACAATGTGCAGTGTTTCCCAAATACATAATAGCTAACATTCAGTGCTTACTATGCTAAACTCTGTACATGTATTATCTCAACTAATTCTCAGAATAAAATATACGAGGTACCATATACAATAAATGTAATTATTAAAGTACAAAAAGATTAAGGATAAGTAACTTGCTCAAGTGTTTTGTGTGGATTTTTGTTTGTTTGTTTGTTTGTTTGTTGATGACTGGCATGAATAAGGATCGGAACCCCTAGACCTTGATGTTACAACACTAACGGGGCCAGCCCAGCTAAAGTGTTCTTAATCAGTCTATTCTACTAATTCCCACAGAACCAACTAGTTGTGGGAGAACGGACTAGTACTCTATGCACCATAACTTTGTCAGTGCTTTTTAGTTCAATCTCTTTTAACTTACTGAGAAAAATGGGACCCAGAAAGGTAAGCTGATTTAGCCAAGAATACACAGCATTCTCTCTCGTTCGCTCTTTTTTCCTTTGGTTTCTGGGCTAATTTAAATTTAGAACTCAATTACAGTTAACCATCATCCCAGGTTCCTGACACAATTCTCTCCCTTCTTTAAATGTCTTTCTTTTAAAAAATATTTATTTCAACATCGTAAGCCATCTTAAAACCTTGTTAGGATTGGCTTTGCTTTTTCTAGGTGTCTGTCTCTGTAAGCAGTGCACTTTACCACTTTTGCACGTACAAATCCCAGATATTTTTAAACGTCTAGTGGAGTTAGGGGGAATTACTCAATTTTCCGCCCATCCCAGATGGATGTCATCTCTGTGTGTGTGTGCATCCACAGCCCTTCATTTCCTCTGGACACTTCTGCCTTGCATTCGAACTACTTCGAGCTCCTGTTGTACCCCACCTCCTAGCCAGAGAGCTCCTGGAGGGCAGGAGTCGGCATCGACTCCGAAAGCCCAGCCAGTGGGAGACAATCAATAAGCACTGAACAGTGTTCTATCCATCCTTGGTTAATTCCTCTAGAGCAAGAATAAAACCCTCCTCAAGCCTGCCGACTCCCAGAGAGCAGGGTTTGCTGATTTTCAGTGGCTCCCGCCGGAGCCCAGCCCTGTCTCTGACATCCAGTGCACAGACCAGGCAGGCTGTGGGGCTCGTCAGTGCCCACCGCCACCGAGGCTGCTCTATCCGAACCAAGTGGGGGTCAAGTAACAAGTAACAATAACTGGAGGGCGGCAGTAAGACGGCTGCACATCCGAAATCCCATCCAGCCCTCGCGGCGATCCTGGGTGAAGCATTTCACCCTGTTCTGACAGGGAGCGGAGCCAGGCGAGGGGGCCAGGGCTGAGCAGGGAGCCCACGTCTGTAGGTGACAGAGCAAGGCCTCGAACCCGGGTCACCGCTCCCTGTTCAGAGATCTTCGGGGCGGAGAGAACGAGGGTGGAAAGGGGTCATCATTCGTCCCGCTTCGGCATCCCCTCACCGGGACCGCTGAGACCTCCCGAACCTGGGTCACCGTACGGGGGCCGGGTCTGGGGGTCGCGCGCACCCCCGCCCCCTGCCCCGCGCCATCTTGGAGCCCTGAGGCGGCCGCTCTGGACTGCCCCGAACCGCTGCTCCAGCTGTTACTCACCCGCGCTGCCTGGGGCCAGGCCCCCCGCCACCTCCGCGACCCCCGCCAGGA